TATGGCCGATGGTCGAATGGCAGAAATGTAGAATGATCATCGAAAGCTTTGTAATATCCATTTAATGTCGTATTCCAAAAAAATTTCTTCCATGCTCACGCTTACAGGAGTGGTGCTAGTTTGCATTCGCAAATGCATAGGGCGAAAACACTGACGTCAAGTGGGGGTACTCATGATCTGAGTTACTAACCGCCAATGCGAAGTGGATAGCATGTGAAACTAGCGTTTGAACACTCCAACCAAAATCCAGGGGGCCAAATAAGAAATGTAGTACGCATTGTAGGGATTTGCATTACGAAGTTGGAAATAAGAATACTATTTGCTGCAGTGAATTACAATTGTCTTGGGGTATCCTCAGTGGAAAGCCTATCTACATGTTTCAGTTAAGATACTGATGATGAATTGAAATCTTCACAACCATGCCAATTAATTCGCTTGTCGAAGTCCTCTCATAGTTTGATCTCGGAATCATGAAGGGGGGACAAAATGATTTGCATATTAGGATGCACTGTCCCCCCGAGAGTCACTTCTGAAGGCTGGCTGCCCAGGACGAATGTCATCGTCGTAGCTGTGTCCTCTATGACGGATCTGAACATATTTCATACATACTGTAGGCCACTAGCTCCTTCCCATTTCCAGAAGCCGAACGTTATGCAGTTTATTGAACTAAAAAAGGAGGTGACAAATAACTGAGATCGAGACATTATCCTGGCCATCTTCATAATTTCTATCGTGGGATCGGTACATACAAATTCCACATAGCAGTTAACTGATGGACACTGAAGCGCGTAATGCATTTCCGGCTAGAGAGGTAGCAGGGAGAGCCCGTTCTACTACTTCTATTTTGACCAAATAAGAATACGTGTGCGGTCGCCCAGCGTTCCAAATTATTTTTTTTTGATCGCTATGACTAACTGAGGTAACATCAAGTGTACAGTCTGCTAAAATCACTGAAGTATGCGGCGTTTGTTCTACAATGCTTGGTAATTACCTTGTTCAAGCCAGTTAACGAAACTTTTCATCCTTCTCAGCTTCGTTTTCCCGAAAAACCTTAAGAACGAAACTCAGATGTCCTTGCATTTCTGGCTGACCAGCCAATTGGCTGGTGTTGACAAATGCTGCCATCACTCATTTCGGGAGCAGAAATGCGGTCGCAATCAACTGCACCCGTCAGGATTAGACGTCCTGCAGTCACATCTGGTCTTTTGTCAATATTAAATAGACCAATTTACTAGTTCTGGAAACTATTTCCATGCCCCTAAGAGGCTCCTTCGTTCTTCTTTCAAACCCGTCAGAAATGGCTTTATAAACTTATTTACATCGTCTGTAAAACGTAGGCCGGTGGCATTGCACACGTCTCTGTAACAATACAAATCTCAATCTTTAGTAAAAGATGGGTCTTCAAGTCCCGGACGCTAAAAAATGAAGACATAAAACGCTCTATTCGACGAACACATGCTGCCCACCTCCATGACAGTGAAATGACAGAGAGCGCGGAATGCACCAAGGAAGCACTTCTAATGAACTTAAACAAGCACATATTTGCGAAGTTATTAACAAAATTCACTTAAAAGGTGCATGCGAAGTCAACGAACAGGCTGTATAACTGCCAAATGTATACATTCTGTTTCTTTACACAGTTCCCTCAAAGGTAATTTCAGCTGCGCTACGGCTACCCCATTTTCCCCCTCAATGTCGCCTGAAAATCTACTTCCCCCCTTTCTTCCGTCTTTTTACGTCTTTAATAAACAACACCTCCACCAATGTCTATTTTACCACATCATTTCCCCCCCTTATTTTCCAAATTTCACCCTCATTCCCCATTTTTTAGCAGACTGGGAAGTGACCTACAAGTGCTCCACTACCTTACGATGTGTGGCCAATATCCATTGCCTTACTTCACAGTCTTCCATCTCAAATTTTTCAGAAATCATAACTTCCACTTAACCTGCAGTCACACACGAATTTATGCTATTATCGCTTTTTTAAAACAACCTCAACCTTGAGTTGTGACGTGTTTCGCTCGTCTCTCAGCTTTTGGATTTTTCCACAATGAAAAACTCCCCATTTCAATACTCAATCTAAAAACATCGAACGTTTGCAGCACTTCTGTCCGTCCACGCACCTCACCCCTGCGCATTCGTCAGCTCACTCCTCAACAGTTGAAAATTGGCATTATTATTCCTTTGAACCAACCGGTCTACCTCCTGTCAGTGGTTCTTGGGCGTTTCAGCTGCCAAACTGCCTTAGCTCTCGGTTCTCCTCGGAGGTCATTCCCCAGGAAATATCTTCCCTGGTTATACATACGCATCTGGAGCTTACGGTTAAACTCGTTGGTCAAGAGCAGAGGATCAAGTGACAAGTGTCTGAAGGTGAGCCAACATAAATTATCTTCCCTTTTCTATTCTGTCCTTTTCCTGCATTCAGTCTTCAACCCTCTTATTGTTGTTAACTACTTGTTTTCCCAAGAAGTTTATATCATAGCGACATGTCTGCCCAAAACGCTAGGTCTGAAGCTTTGACACGGATAACGCGGTCGTGCACAACAACGGCCAGTAACACCCTAAACAACACACTAGTCTGTACTAGAAGACAAACAGAGGTAGGGCAGAACATCGAACTTCTGAAGAAGTGGCCAACCCATGTTTCTAGAATTCCAGTAGCCATCAGACAGGTGACACAGAGTAGCACTAGCCCGTCACAAACTAGTCCTATCTTGAGCAAGGATCATACCATGCCTGAACATAGAAGACGACGTAAAAGGCTTCAGAACAAGGCAGCCACAAGCAGTTCGCCACAATCCGTAGCACCTTATTCATGGAAGGAAGGCTGTATTACGACACCCGATGGCTGCAGTGTTTGCACCAAAGTTGTTTCGGTAGTCGATGAGGCATTTGCATGCAACCTGTGTCAACGATGGGTGCATTGCCACTGCGATACCAAAGTCCCCCGACAATACTATAAGCTGATGAAGAGACAACCATGCAAGTGGTTCTGGTACATCTGTCCAGAGTGCAGGAAAATGCCCGCACTCCGCACAGAAAGCCTGAAGGAGATGCTCTCCGCCACGCAAAAGCTACCAGCATCCTCGAATAAGGTAGGGTTAACACCAAAGGATAACACAGAGAGACCTGGAAACAGACCTAGAGCTCCAGCTGTGGGCACGCCATCTCGCGTGGGGACCATATTAGGTCAAGTCTCCATACCCCCACCCGGCCCCAGGGGACGTCAAGCGCATGGCCAAAGACATCGACCGCCGAAGCCTCTACGAAACCCATTCCGAACACCCCACACACCGTGACTGAGAAACAACCAGTGGAATTACTCAAACCCATTGGTAAGTCGGGCGTGCCACCCACAACGAACCCAGGTCACAGGAGGACCAACTCGATCATTTTGTTCAACGTCGATGTATCGACAGACTCATTGTTGGTCGAGAGGGAACAATTTGACAGCCGAATGTGGACCGACTACTGTCAGATGCTGGGACTCCCTCCCCTCCCTGCAACTTTGTGTCGCCTTTCTCGAGGAAGCCATGCACCCCGAGATAAGCCCCCCCTTTACGTGTGTCCCTAAATACCGCCAAAGAGGCTGAAGACACACTCCTCCTCTCGCGACAACCGGACGTTGTTAATGCCTGTAAAATTCGGGCCAGGCCTGACAAGCCATGGTCAGTAAGAGAGGAGGAGAGAAAGTCAGCGGTTGGAAATCCCAACAGAAACAACACTATAGTTGTACATGGGATTCCAGAATTGCCAAGTGACAGCTCGGTCAAAGATCGGTACTTTCACGACGTCCAACAATGGCAATGGCTCTCAACCAAAGTTGGTCTCAACAGTATACCGGCCAACAGCGTCAGTAGACTGCCAAGGCCAGCGCACCTGAAGACCATACCCAATCCCAGACTACTTGCCGTCCAGTTCGACTCATATGCCTCCCTCACAGACGTTCTGCACGCATGGTATAATGCGAAAGATCGCATGGGTGGCTCAATACGTATATGTGAAAGTAAGCCTAGACCCACAAGGCAAGAGGAGAGACGGCAACCACCAAGACCTCTGGAGTCAGTGGTCGTCACACAGGCGCTGACCAGTGAGTTAGATACATCAAGTAAAGAAGCCACCACTGCTACAGCCCCCACCCAAGTTAAGAACAAAACACAAAAAAACGGAACAATGCCAGTCCTATGAGGACTGGCGAGGCTAAATTCAACCACGTAAGCGCTCATCCCGCGAAAATACACATCCAGACCTCCCCTCTCATCAGGTACACTCTAATATGTATGTACAGCAACGTTAGGGGGCTAATAGGGAAGGTAGCAAAAATGAGGACGCTGCGTGAACATCAGCACTCCGACATCATATTCATCACCGAATCCTGGCTCTCATCGGACATCTCCGACGAAGAGATGCGTGTTGCTGGCATGGAACTCTTCCGCAGGGACAGGGAACATAGAGCAGGAGGGGGAGTGGCTATCTACGCAAACTCCTGTTTAAAGGCAAGGATGGTTAGCGATACGGCCTTAACCCAGCTCCCAGAGTCTCTATGGTGCTACTTCACTCTCTTCTTTATTCTCTCTTCATTCCTTTACCACTACCTTACTATTCTCTTTCAGGTACCTACACAGACAGGAGTCATGGCAGTTCTCTAAACTTCCCAGCAACCCGTAGCTCCCTAATCACTCTACAAATTACAACCTACTAACCCACAAAACATCCACCTCACCGAAGCTAAAAGCAAGAAAGCAGAGGGGATTTCCTCGTCCACTGCAGGAGTAAACCGAACAACTGGAACCAAGCCCTAAGAACTAGACGCGAGAGATCAAAAACTACTAGTTTTCTACGCTCGCACTATCAATATTGGATATTGGAAAGAGGAGTGCGGTCAAGTGACCTACAAGTGCGTTAGTACCACATCTAATCGACCTTAATCTATACCCTGCGGGTTTATGATTTTGTTCGTCTATTGGCTGCTGTTTACTACTTGATCACCCAGCTGCAATGGAGGACTCAGAAGATAATGATAAACCTAAAAAACCTACGACACATGATGAACGAGGTGCAGCAGATCTAGAACGTGTTACTGATTATTTTGAGGAGAAAGAGCTGAGTGTAGGACTAGATGCAGTTAAAGCAGTTTCAGATACAGCTGGTGATGCAGTTGCTGCTGACAAAGCTCAAAAACAAAAGCAGATGCTGAAAATCAAAGTCAGAAATGAGGATGTCGCGTTGATTGTAAGTCATATCCTTGTCTTTCTAAGTGTGCAAACTAAATGTAACCTTCGGCACTTGAACCATGTAGCTCTAAAGATTTGACGCAAAATGCCCATTGTAGTTGAGAATCGTGGTCAACAACGATAGCTTGTGTATTCATGTCGTCGATGTACTGTCAAATCAAATATTCGGTCAATATATGAACAGTAATTTTAAACTTAGTCCACTATATATATATATTATATAGCTCAAGATTTTGGTTTAGAATTCGTCCACATAGTTAGCTCCGATCGGTTACAGTCACCTACTGCGCATTTTCTTTTGGACAATCCTTTTGCAAAGTGAATTATATTATCCCATTAATGAGATGCTAAGAACACATTAACGAATCAGATGGTACACTAGTATCTGTTGCAAGTTCATGATACTATTTTTACGATACTATTATTTTGTTTAAAGCAAAGCAAATGAGTTATTATCACTACTATGAAAATGCCTGTACATATCCATGATGTTTGCATCAGATCATGAGCATTAGCTGCTACCGTATCGTGGCATTCGAGCTTGCATTTCACAGCGACCCGACGAGCTATGTTGTTGGAACACTTAGGGCAGGCATATACGTGCTCATACTGGCCCACGATCGGAGTCCAAGCGGCAATCGCCCAACGATGGCTCATAACTGTCATCTATCTGTGTCCATCGTTAGTTTGATGCCTCTGGACACCACGTGAAAGTGGTTCTCCTTATGCTTGGGGTTAGTGCTGGGCCAAGACAAGTAATTGTCAGAACAAAATTACAAGAGGCGATGACTTGTTGGTTCGGTGGCATGAAATATCGTATATGCCTATTAAAAGCCTTTTTGATTGGTTCAGATCCCTTAATTGAGCGTTAAAGTCGCCTGCTGTTATGACCACATCTCAGAGTCTTGTTTTCTGTCGTAACATTTAAGGCTCCTGTTAGAATTCATCTTTTTCACCATCCGAACTGCGGTTGGTAGGTAGGTGTGCAGAGATTATGAATAGGAGTAAGTTACAATCCTTCCTTATTTTTATAGATCCACTCAGTCTAACAACACAGAGGTCTATTGACTATCATCCACTTGATGTGTGCTTTCTGCTTCAATACTTAATGCCATGCCTACACCAGCGTGTCTATGAGATCTAGCCACTGAATCTGCGGACGCTCGTAAGGTGAATTTTGAAGACGCTGCATTGATAAGGTGAGGTTAAGGGGATAACCACACTCGGGTCCTGTGTGCGTCTTTCAGAAAAGGCATTTATCTATGACACAATTCCAGATTTGTGCTGAGCGATACCTGCTGTTGGATTTGACATAGGGTCCTACGTTAAACAGTCATGTGGAAACGACAGCGGTGCCTTATGAGGCTGTGAACGGTGTTTGGCTGCTTTGCATCGTTCACAGTAAACGTAGAGTGAGCGGTTAATGAAGTTCTAAGAGTTTTAATGCTGGTATCAGAAAGTGAAGTTGAAGGAAAAGACAAAAAATGAGTACATATTTTTGTTTTACTACTTTTTCTATACTATTGAAAACTTACAAGCAGTTTACAATTTCCCACTCCCACACTATGGAAGGGTATTTATTGTTGAGGTGCCTGGGAGAAAAGGGTCAGTGAGTAACCGTAGAGTCTAAGGACCATCGTGAGGCTGGGAAAACATGACATTTTTAGAAGCTTGAGGTTTAAGTTTGTATCTTGCATATCCGACTATGTTACACTGTTACGCCGTAGGGGTAAAGGGGAATGTGCTATTTTTTGGCACTACCTTTCTTAAGCCCCTCTTCTCACACGGTAGGCAGCATTGGTGTGGTAATACTAGTCATCCACGGTAAACACCTTACTGCTGTCACACCCCTTTTCAACCACCAGTACGACTTCACTGTTGAACCTCCATCATAGTGTAGCAACTTATATTGTAATGGTAACCGAATTTTGTTTTACCACTGTTCAACTGACTTTCCCAGTATGATAATACCTCAATGGGAACAAGCGTTCAACCAGCATAGTTCGTTGGGTTGTTGTGATGTGCAAGCCTGACCACCACCACAATGGTAACAGTTATTGGTCGTGACGGCAGTAGGATGTTTACCGCTGATGACCAGCAGTACCACACAGGTACTGCCTTATTTGTTGGAGGGAGGCGGTTAGAAAAGCTCTTCTCTTAAAATAGCACACTTCTCTTTACCCTACGGCATACCGATGCCACCGATAGTTTCATAGTCGGATTTGAAGGGAGCAAATTATCAACCTGCTAGGAAGACTGCGTGTTCCTTGCCTCAAGCAAATGTTCCTTTGGGCTCTGTGGTCACATATCTACCCTTTTCCAATTGCCTCAAGAAGTAGCCCTCTACAGTGTGGGCAGCCAGGAAAGTCATCCGCCCGCACAAAGTTGTTAGAACTCAAGTTCCCTTAGATCACTGTTCACCTTCCAAATCGTTAACTTCTAATCTTCCTTCACCTCTCCTGGTCAACATTTCTACATCTTTAACTTGTTCCAACTCTGAAGCGCTTAACAACCATCTGAGTTCATAGAACAGCATATATGGTCTCCTAAAACCGCAGTCCAAGCCATACGTTGTAGCATTCAATATCCGTACCCTCCATCAAATCGACCGACAAGCTTTGGTAGCAAAAACTATAGCATGTCAAACTGTGCATGTTTCTTCCGTTCGGTAGACACGCATACGTGTATTCATTTAACCTCACTCGAACAGTGTGGCAAATCCACGAAACCCACCCTTCGAGTTTCTAGAGTTTCAATGACTTGTTCTCATTGTCTTGCAAATGTAAATATAGCATTGAGTGCTAAGGCAGAAAGCTCGCTTCTCGACTGGATCTCAAATGACAGTCGTCTGTGCCCTGTTTGGCTGGAAAGTGCACTGAAGACTTAAAAGAACAGTATAACTCGTCGGTCTCTTCGTAATCTCTGATTATGCACCCACGGACTGTAGTTCGGAAGAACTAAAGGATGTGTTCTACTGAGAACTTTCTAGCCTCCTGCTGAAAGCCAAGCGTTCGGATGTGGTTGTTATTGCAGGTGGTTTCGGTTCTCAAGTGAGTAGGCTAAGTCAGGCAGAAAGGCACTTAGGTTGCACTTTCGGAATCCCAGCCGAACAAACAAGTAACGGTAATCACCTGCCGTGATTGTGCTCAGGCTAGCACCATCTCACACACGAAGACACTGTCCGGTGTAGCATCCAACGACCTTAACTCAGCGGTTGACGCAGATAGGCCACAATACTACCATTTATCTCTGGAAGACTTCCACTACTTCTGGAATACGTGTTTGGTGAGTGACTACGCGTTGGTTTGAGCACTTATATGTCTGCGTCTAAGTGGATGTAGAAAAAATATAGCAACAAGACCATTTCGAGTCCAGCTCAACTAGGAGCAGTAGTGCTGCGTCCATTTATAATCTGACCAGACAGTTATCGGAACAGCACAACAACGCTCGTCAAGAAGCCTGACACCACCTCCAGTCTGCTGTGAAAACAGCGTTGAAAAACCCTAACCGACTATCAGAGACAATTTAGAAAGGGGTAGTGGGTCTCCTGAATTGATGGATGCACGTAAACGCACCTCTGCAGGCTCCGAACACAATGTTGAGCAGAAGCAACCACATGTAGACTGACAAGGAGCCTAAACAATGGTCGCGAACAGTGTTGGGCTGCAAAGGTTAAATACATGGAAAGGCAGTGGCGTAAGTAACAGTTGACAGCTATTTAGACTCACTAAGTGAACGGAAGAAATGACTATTGGTTAGTAAGACTATAATAGAGAGGGATGGGTCTGTGATTCACTCACCTGAGAGACTACTGGAATGATGGGCGGAAAACTTCGAGGAGCGTTTCAACTTACCTCCAGCTAATATTCCGTCGCCCTCCAGTCAGATCCTGAAAGGAACATCGAGATACGACGCCCCCCCCCCTCCAACACTTACAGAAGTCGAGAAAGCTGCAGGTAACCTGAAACGAACATGAGCAGCACGGTCAGACTGACTGGTACCAGAGCTATTTAAGAACAGCGGTCGAAAATTATTGGTCAACCGAACTGGTAGCTGGTGTATGGGGATTAGATATTATCCCCTCTAACTGGTCTCGATCACAGATTGTTTCAGTCTTAAAGAAGAATAATGAACGTGGTGTCTGGGATTCCAGGTTTTACAGTCCTTAGACATCTGAAAAGAGCACGAGGACAGTGAACGCGAAAAAACAGACAGGTTTCAAACCTGGACGAAGATGCACGGACCAAAGTTTCACCCTTCGACAGGGTCTTTCCGGCATCCGACACTTGCAATACTTCTTGACCTTAAGGCGGGATTCGACTCTGTCGACCGTGAGGTGTGGCAATGTAAGAGGGGTTCCTAGTAGTTTGCAACACTTGGAAGCTCTGTAGTCGATCATCCGTTAGCGTGTTAGGGTCTAAAGTGTGTTGTGTATGTCAAGTGGTGTCCATTTAGGATGCCACTGTCTTCATTTTCATTCAGTCTTATCATAGATTTTCTCATAGACGTATTCTTTTCGTCGCCTGACTTCACAAGTATTTGTTTTATCATAGGGGAATCCTTGGTGGCATATTGGGAATTTTTGGGATATGTTTCTCATCACCTAAATGGAAATTATTACTACAGGGCTGATCTTAACTGGTGCTTGTTTAACAATAGAGAGTGAAGTGGTTGAACGCGTTGACCACTTCACCTATGTGGAAAGTAGGATCAGTCTTGGTGGGTCAGTGGCCAACGAAATCTGCACGGATACAAAAGGTTTCTTTGGCTTTCGGTAACCTACGACACTTATGGCACCGTCGTGATATCTGACTGTCTATTAAGGCGAGGCCCAAGTGTACTGCGCTGCAGTTCACTTTGTGTTGTGCTAAGCGGCTGCGAAACATAAGCACTATAGGCAGAGGTGAGTAGGCTTCAGGTGTCTCGACGACCGTTGGCTTCGTAGTGCATGCCGTGTGTATTGTGTTGCCACCAAGTGTTTAATGTAGGAGTCGAGTA